CCGCAGAAGCGCCTTGCGCAGCGCTGTCTGGCTTTGGAAGGGCTCGCCCGTCCTCGCTTGCCTGGTCTCACTCTGCCCACCGGGGAGAAGCTTGTCGGAAGCCCGGCGGTGCTGGCGTCCGCCTTTACTCCCAGCACTCGGGACGCAGAGACAGGCGCGGGGAGCTCTGTGAGTGCGACACCAGCCTGGCCCACAGAGCGACTGCCCGGACAGCCTCCAAAGCCACACAGACAGACCCTGCCTTTCTTCAAGCAGATCGCTTTCTCTGACATGCTGTAGTCCATAGGATTTATTGCTTTGAAGTTTGGGGGTTAGCTATATCTGAAGAAAGTACAAGTGATGAGGAATAAAACGAGCTGGGAGCAGAAGTGATAACTTAGGCCGGTTGGAGGACCATTTTTGTAGTTCGGCGTTTGACTCAGCTCGTATGGTTTTTTTCATTATTTTCCTCAGATGTCAGAGGACCTGGCAAAACAGTTGGCTAGCTACAAAGCTCAGCTCCAGCAAGTAGAAGCTGCCTTGTCTGGGAACGGAGAAAATGAAGACCTCTTGAAATTGAAGAAGGATTTGCAAGTAAGGATAAGTGGACAGTTGGAGTTGATGTTGCTTGAAAGAATATTTGTTTTTCTCAAATGAAGTGTTGTTCAGAATTCATAGGCACTTAAAGCACCCGTGAAGAAGGGGCTCCCTGCTTGCATACATACATACATACATACATACATACTCCCTGCTTGCATGCATACATACATACATACATACATACATACGCACGCACGCACGCACGCACCGCAACGGTGAAGAAGGGGCTCCCTGCTTGTATTCACACACGCGGGCACCCTGTGTACGCAACGGTGAAGAAGGGGCTCCCTGCTTGTATTCACACACGCGGGCACCCAGGCTTCTGTGGTTGCTTTCTCCATTAGGTGTACATTGGAATGAATGAAACACTCATGGTTTTGTAACTCTTGTGTGTGCTTTTAGGAGCTCATGAGAAGAAACGTTGCAACTGAGTATGCGTTTATTTTTAAAGATTTGACAAGGAAACTTAGTTCAAAAGGTAACAGTGTTAAAGGAGGAAAGGATACCCGGATTAAGGTCCATTTCACTGAACCAAAAACTGTGACCATGGTTCTCCGCACTAATGGGGTACACCTTTTGTAAAAACACTCATGATGTGCTTACACGGGGATGTGTAAAGAGATCCCATTCTGCCCATGTTGTAAGTGTTTGGACTTAGGACTTGGCTTTGTAGTTGTGCCTGTCTAAGTTGAATTGGTGTAAAAGGAGACATAACTTTCACGGGAGATAGGAATTATGAAACTTGTAAGTACATGCACGGGGGGCTTCAGGACAAACTCAATACCTGTCGATTCTTAGAGCAGCAGCCTAAGAAAAATAGCACATGTAATTTGTAAATATTGTGTACAAAAGTTTTGATCTTAAGAACATCCTTAAAATTCAGGGTGTTTTGATGATTTCTGCTTATTCTATGTCCCATCCAAATAGTCCTTCCCTTTATACTATTGATGGCTATTAATATTAGATTTTGCCTGATGTGTACATCTTTAGGAAGCTTATGCAGGAAGCAGAAGTAGGCATTGCTCTGAGTTCTAGGCCATCCAAGGCTACATGGTGAGACACTATCTCAAAATAAAAACCCCACAAAATTTCAAATGTAACATACTAGAGAGAGCTTAATAGATTGGGGGATTCTGAAAGATCTATTTTAATTTAAAATGAGTTGGACATTCTTAAACTCAGATTCTAGACTTACAATAGTGTAAATGTGGGATAATATTACTTTGAACAGTGCTCTCCTTCAGTTTAAAGCCACGCTTAGGGAGTGATGTGCCATTCAGTTACCTGTGCACTGAGGATTGGTTGAAGGTGGAGTGACAGAAGCAGGTTGACCTGCCCATCCACCCCTGCTGACCTAAAGCAGTCCTTTCTGGCCTTTGAAGAACAGGAGTGTGCACTTGCTGGGCAGTGGGAGGTCTGTGTAGAGCTGATAGAGGAGAGTTGGGAGTCAAGTTTTGAACAGCATTATTACCAGGTCTGTTTTAGTTTGTTTGTTTGTTTTAACCTTTCTAGGATAAGTTATCTTTAAAGTCAGCTGTTTTGATACAGAATCTATGATGGAAAGTATGGTAGGGAAAAAACGGTTAGGGTAGATATTTACCCGAAAGGCTTACCTAGGGCTCAGTTAATAATGGTCCAGAGGCTGAGGCTCTAACTTATTAGAATACACAATACTCTGGTTAATTTCCCAGCACTGGGGGCGATCCACAAAATACAAAAAGCAAGTCAAGCAGAGGCAGGGAGTTTTCTACGTGCTTGAGGCCAGCCTGCTCTACATAGAGTTCAGGCCAGCCATGGTGACATAGTCTCTGTCTCAGCAAAAAAAAAAAAAAGCAAAGCAATAATGACTTTGAAGTCATTTGTCTGCAAAAGTGTCCTCTTGTATAGCTGGTTAGAACAGCACTGTCTTGGTAGAACTTGCCTCTGTGATGGTGACCAAGGTCTGTGTCTGCTGTTAAGTGCCACAGTCGCTGGCCATGTGTAGCTACTGGACATTAAAATAACTATAGTTGAGTAAATACTGGATGGTGCAGATTTAGAAGCTTAGGTGCTAATAATGCTGCAAAAGTGACACCACTGAACTCTTTAATTTGAGTGGTCTTCATCAGTATTGTTCCCCTCCCCACTCCATTATGAGAAATTTGATTTTGGTTACGAGGTATGGTTTGAACTGAAAACTTAAGATTAGGTAAAAAAAATTATGAAGAGTATTTGGGTATGTGCTTCCAACCTGGTGGTTTGCACTGACACTAGGGAATAGCTTGCTCCTTTTAGGGACATATATGTCTTGTTATTTAAATCTTGTCTGATTAGGTTGGTTATTAAGCTTGTGGCTTCTGCATTTTCTTTTTGGCCATCATAATGGCCTCTAATTCTTTGGGTTTTTTTCCAGTAAGGTTTCCATGTTTCTGTCTTTTATGTAGAATAAAAAATTCAGGCAACAAAGTAATCTTCTGAAGTCCTAACTGCCTTTTCCTTCCTTCCTTTCTTTCTTTCTTTCCTTAGAAGAAAAAGTAGGTATATAGTAAAATCAGTCTAGCTAGCTCTTTCGTTCCCCAGGCAGTCTATAGTAATCACAAAAATAGACAATTTATTAAGCTGTATTGCTGAATAAACTGGTTCAAAGGAGGCAGGGGTCAAGTCACTTGTCTCATATATTACAGTGGCTCTCTGCATCCCCGAAACGCCTTCCTTCAGTAAGCAGAGTGCTTGAGTGCACCCCCTTTGACCTGCTGATAGTAGATCACAACACCTGATGCCTCCTGGGATTGCCGTTACTGTAACTGCTGCCCATCTGTCAATGAAGGAGCAGTTTCAGAACTCACACTTGGGGGAGGAAAAGTAATTAATGGTATGTACCTTCAAGAACCCCCTCATACATAAAATAGTTTTTCTGATATTTTGGTCCATACCCACATGTGAAGACAGAAATTGAGAGGTTCTTCATAAATTACTGGGAGACATTTAAAATGACAAGAGTTACAGGGCATTAGAAGTAAATGCTCTGCATTTTGTTTATAAGAAGAGCCATCTTGGCACAGGGTTTTGAGAATTAACACACAGCTTTTCAGGACTTTTGTTTGAATTTATTTTCTTTTGGAAGTGGTGGGGAGATGTTCTGTCAGTCTGAGACTACTGACAGACAGAATACAAGTTTGTGCTTTAAGTACATGAACCCTGGAAGGAGATGCAAGTACTGACTGATGAAGACTTGATGGGCTCTGAGCCAGGCCTACTGGGTTATATTCCTGGCTGACTCTGGAGGTCTCTGAGAACAAACTTGGATGATTTATTCTTTTTTGTATGACTATATTATTGGAAACTCTCCCACTTTATTTACATGGAATTGTTTTATTAAAAAAATACTTGAGGGCATGTGCCTGGTTTGCACAATACCCTAGGGTTCAGTCTCTAGTGTTGCAGAACTAATGAATATAAAGCCATGCATCACCTCCCGTGACTTAGAAAAGTAAAAAAAAAAAAAAAGATGTCTACTTGGCAAACCTTAGAGATGGCTTTGTATTGAGTTCTCAACTCAAATCTGAGTCTTACTAGAATTTTTTTTTAATTCACAAGACTGACCTTTCTCTTTTTTTTTTTTTTTTAAAAATACTAGGTTGGTTTTTTTTTGTTGTTGTTGTTTTTTTTTTTTTGAAGTAGCCAGGAATATTTAGAATCTTTCGGAGAGGTAACTTTTCTTGGCTACTAAACCAAAACACCTACTGTTAAACCTTATAGGATGCCTGAAGAAACTAAGTTTAATTTTGCTGTATTTGTCCCCAAACATAAAATATGTCTTAAATGCAACAGTGTGGGAAACCAGTAAGCAGGTTTTTGAAAATCATATATAAACTCTGTATGTCTACATTAGGGTAAGAATGTAGCAGATAAGTAGTTAAGTACACTTCTGTGTATATTTTTGGCAAGTTTTTAGCCTTAACACACTCAAAACTAATACACAGAAGCCTGAATTAGAAAAGTATCTGCCACATGGAGAGGCACTGCCTGCCTGTGTGAGTTATTTACATATTTTCCTTAAAATGAAGCAGTGCTACCTACTGTGCTTGATAAGTAGGTGTGGGCTGTTTAAATCTGACTTGATTAGTACTTAAATTACTGGGTTTTTTTATTTATGCTTTACAATATTATAGTAGAAATTGGTATAAGTAGAAACATTGTTTGTGTGCTAATGAGACTGTTTCCAGTGTTTTGGGGACTTCATAGAGGAGGTATGGTGGCTATATAGTTTATGCCCTATAAAACTGTAGTTGCATGAAAGACACATGGCAGTTGTAAAAGTGACCTTGAATCAAATTTGTTCTCTATTTCTCTGTGGAGAAATCTTTTCAGTCACAAAAAGCATTTGGAAGTCAGACATGGTTGAAACTTGTCTACTTTTACTTCTGAAAGTTTTTATAGTTAAGTTGAAGATGCCTGTATAGGCTTAAATCACAGTTTCACTACTGACTAGTCCATAGTGCTATTCCTCCGTCTTTATATGGGCATAAAAGCAGTGTTGTTAGTAGCACTATGAACTGCACATGTAGCATGCATACCTGCTTTGTGGCATGAGCGCTAATACTGTGAAACAAGAAAGCCGTTGTCGGTGTCCAATTACAAGTGTTACAGCTCTTGTTTTCTTTTTAGGAAGTTATAGAATTGACCAAAGACCTTCTGTCAACTCAGCCTTCGGAAACCCTTGCAAGTTCAGACAGTTTTGCTTCTACTCAGCCTAGCCACTCCTGGAAAGTAGGGGACAAATGTATGGCCATCTGGAGTGAAGACGGACAGTAAGTGTAGAAAACCCAACCCTCTAACTATCCCTGAATTAATAAGATACAATGGTAAGATGCTTTCATTCAGTTTGGACTGCCCTGTTTGAATAATCCATGTAGGTGAGGTGATTTGTAAAAACTAGTGTAATTCTTGGGTTGTTGCCATTAAAACAGCTTATTTTTAGGGTTAGTTTAATTTCTGGGGAGAAGAGTAGTTTGGATCCTAAAGGGAGGAAAGATGAATTGCTGTTTTCTAAAATGTTCCCAGGTGTTTTCTCAAATTAAAAAAGTGAATGGCTGGTAATCTCACTGCACTCCAGTGCATCCATTGAAATTAGTCATTTAAATATTAGCTTTTCTCAAAGAGATGAAATTTACAGTGAGTAAATGTGTAAGAGATTTTTCTGACAAAAATATTAATTAGGGCTTGGTACCAGGTGCCTCACTTTAGAGCTCTGGTATTATTTTGCCAAAGGGTCATTTGATTGCAGACCTTTATCTAGAGACATGATGAGTGTGAGTGGCTGCAGTGTAGACTTGTAGGCTGAGTGCTGGATCTTTACTCACCTGCTTACAGCCATGGTATCTTTACAGGTGTTACGAAGCGGAGATTGAGGAGATAGATGAAGACAATGGCACGGCTGCAATCACCTTTGCTGGTTATGGCAATGCTGAAGTGACTCCATTGTTGAACCTCAAACCCGTAGAAGAAGGAAGGAAGGCAAAAGAGGACAGTGGCAACAAACCCATGTCCAAGTAAGTGACTCGTTTTCTCCAAAACAGGCAGGCTCCCGGTAAGGCCCAGGCTTAGTACTTAGGTTATAAGCAGGCACTATATCTGGCAAAGGTGACTGACTGTAATTGGCATGTTAGGGGTTCCCGTTTGAGTACTTGAAATAATCTGCAAAGATGGCATGTTAGGGGTTCCCGTTTGAGTACTTGAAATAATCTCCATGCAGGCTATATTGGATGGCAGTTGTAACACTGTTTAACCTTGTTTTGAAGATTTGCAACATCCCATCAGTGTGTGTGCCTAGGTAAAGTGGAGACTGTACTAAGGTGTTCATTAAAGAGGATGCTACACTAGAGCATCTGCTGTATTTTGTAAGTTAGGTCCTAAGGCTAGACCACAGTGGAGACCGTCCCGAGCCTGTTGAGTCTGTATTCAGGAAAGAGTACACCATCAGGGGATGTAGCTTAGGTGTAGAGCCTTTGCCTAACCATTATAATTGTACCTAGTACCAGAGAAGGGCTTGGGAGGGGGCGCATAAACAGTCAAGTGTAAAAAGTGTGAAGGAACTATATAGCAGTAGTTTCAGGGAACAGAAAACAAAAGGACTATAGTTATTTTCCTAAGGAAAATAACATCTAAACTAATAACTGAAACCGGGGTCGGCAGAGTAAACAGTGACAGCGCTGTGACGCTGGATAGATGCCTATTTTTGCCTGACCCCTCTCTCTAGTTGATGTTCAACAAACTAACATCTGCCTCAGCTATGAAATGGCGTGTGACGGTTCTTGTAAGTCTCCTCTAAAAACCCTGGGGGGTTTTTAGAAGTAGAAGTGCCTGGGGGGCACTTCTACTTCTGATTTTTTTTTTTTTTAATGTAAAGAAGCAACAAAATTTTGTGGTTAAAACTGGGACCAGACAGTAATTAGTTAGATAACAGAAGACAGGGCTAACACTTGAAAGCTGCTCTTGGTCACCACAGAGAATGCTAGTTGTGCCACTTTTCCAGTTTGGGTTGCTGTCTCCCTTCAATATTGATGAAAGTTGTTTATCTGCAGTAAGTCACTTCATACAGTTTCCCGAGTATTGAGGACATCATACTAACTGTATTTTTAGGGATTGGTACAGATTTAGCCAGCCATTGATGTTGTTTTTTGTTTGTTTGTTAAGACTGGGTTTCATGTAGCCTATGCTGGCCTTGAGCTCTGTGTAGCAGAGGCACAACGTAAACTCGTGGTCTCCCTGCCTCCATCTCCTCTAAGCAGTAGGGTTGCAGGTGTGTGCTGTCACATGTACTGAATAGTAATAGTCCTGAAGCACAACTGGCAAAAGCTGTATAAAAATAAAAAGTCTTTGTTGAAAAATTTGCTTTCCGTTGTGGTAGAGTTAAATGTAGTGCGCAGCTGTTTTGTTGTCATTTGTGGGCATGCTCAGCAAGGGCTCTGCCAATGGCCTGTGTCTACCTTTTATTTAAGAAAAAAATGTCTGGATAGTCCTCAGTGAGTGGCGTTTGTTTACCATTTATTTATTGTGTGGGTTCATGTGTGCACTACAACATGAGTGGAGGCCAGAGGACAACTTCAAGGAGTTGATTTTCCTTCTGCCCTGTGGCTCAGGGTCACACTCAGGTCAGCTCATGAAGCTTAGCTGGGTGGCAGATGCCTTGACCTGCTGAGCCATCTCTCTTTAGTCCCATCTTCTTTAAGACAGGGAGGGGTCTGGTGTACCCCACGCTGACTTGCAGCTCACCAGTCTCCACCTAGGGTTACAGGCATGCCACCACACTCAGATTTCGGCATTGATTTTTAATGACACATTTTGCTTTCATTAATAAATTAGCATGTAAGTTTTGCTTTTGAACTGTTAAACAGGAAGTCATATTTTAAATGTTAATTATTCACATTTATGTCTGGGTTTTCCACACAGAAAAGAAATGATTGCCCAGCAGCGTGAATATAAAAAGAAGAAAGCTCTGAAGAAAGCACAAAGAATAAAAGAGCTAGAGCAGGAAAGGGAGGACCAGAAGGTGAAGTGGCAGCAATTCAACAACAGGGCGTACTCCAAGAACAAGAAGGGCCAGGTCAGTGTGTGCATGTGCCCTCCATCACCGTGGTCTGCCAATGCAGCTGTCATTAAAATCATTTCACAATGAAGACAGGGGGCACAGATTTCCCAAAGGACACATTTTAACCAATTTTTGATTTATAATTATTATCAGTAGTCATGAGCCACTTTCTGCAGTTAAAAACAAATTTATATACCAGGAATTATCAGACTGTTTGATGCCCTCAGTACTCTCAAAAATACATGGAGCTCTGCTTTTTTTTTTTTTATATATAAAGATCTTATTTATTATGTATACAACATTCTGCTTCCATGTATATCTGCACACCAAAAGAGGGCATCAGATCTCATAAAGGATGGTTGTGAGCCACCATGTGGTTGCTGGGAATTGAACTCAGGACTTCTGGAAGAGCAGTCAGTGCTCTTAACCTCTGAGCCATCTCTCCAGCCCCCGGAGCTCTGCTTTTTTAACATACTTTTATTTTGAGATTCTGTTTAAGAAGCTTTGCTGGGTAGAAAATAACTGTAATTCTGATATTCAAAATAAGAGTGTTCATCCATAGTTTGGCTTTTCATTGCTGTTAAGAGAACAGCTGCTCCACTGTGTGGTTTCTGAAGAATAGTGGGACAGAGGGCAGTGAACTTCATGGTTCTTACCATGAACTTCGTACCAAAATAGATACTCATACTTTAAATAGGAATTTGACAATGGAACATAACATTTTGAGACAGATAAGCTTTATATTAGTATGTAGTAATATTTTCTTTAAAAGCCATGCGTTTTGTAAATACTGGAACCTGAATATATTTTAACATTAAAGGCTGAGATTTGTTCTCACTGATTAGAAATGGTTCTGCTTTTGTTCCCAGGTAAAGAGGAGTATTTTTGCTTCGCCGGAAAGTGTGACGGGCAAAGTTGGAGTAGGAACCTGTGGGATTGCTGACAAGCCTATGACCCAGTATCAAGACACATCTAAATACAATGTCAGGCACCTGATGCCGCAGTAATCTCAAGACACATCTAAATACAGTGTCAGGCACCTGGTGCCGCAGTAATCAGAGAGACTGTTGGAGTTCATCTCTGCAGGGCTTTACATTTACCTTTTTATCCTTATATTTTTCTAAAGGTAAATTATTTGCTAGATGAGTAAGGAAGATAAATTGTTGTCATTGTTTGGCTTTGGTAGAATGAAACTTGAAGACATTTGATAACTGCTATCATTTAACTTTTCATTACTACTTATGACAGATCCCTCGAGTTTGTTGAACAAGGCAACTTTTCTAGGTAGATGCTGCTTAAGTCAGCACTTAGATGATTACTGGACTTCTGGCCCCCACTTAACTAATGTTGAGTAGACATTTTATAAGTCCTAATTTGGAGTTTTCAGGTGCTTTGCACTTGACGTATCCCAACAGTTCATTGGAACATCACCGCAAAATGCCAGCCTGCTAAAGACATCTTCAGTTTGATAACCTGGCCATTGTGCAGACAAGCCCGAGTATGGGTTAATTTATAAACAGCAAAGTTTGGTTTGAGGTTTCTCCTTGAATTACTTGTTTCTCGGGCCTGTTAGGTCACCTCTACAATTGACTCACTTTGTATTTTTTTTGTCATTGAGTTTGAATTTTATATTAAAAAACAAGCAAACCATGTTTAGGATGTGCTCCCCTTCTCTGGTGTTTATTTGGTGTTTTGTATTGTTTTTTTCCCTTTGTTGATTTTTCACTTGTGGCAGTGGTACCATTTTTGGGATGTGTGATGTTTATATGGGAAAACAAAAAGCTGATGTATAGCCCTGTATACAGTGTAGATACTATTTTTGTAAAAAACAAAAAACCAAAACAAAACAAACCCAAGGCTAAATTAATGAACAAGAGTACTAAATGTTTCACAATTAAATTTTTTCTGTATTTCTTGTGCATTAATCTGCCCATAATTTCCCTGTATATTATGTTCATGTAGCTGAGTTTGTAATTTTTATTAACTAGATCAAGTTGCCAGCATTTGTTGGCCTAAGTGAGCACCACAGTTATTCCAAGTTGAGTTTAAGCCAAAAACATGGATAGAAAAAGGGTCTTCCTGTTATTGGAAGAAGACACTTTTTGGGTGTGTGCTAATTTCAGTTTTGTATGTTTAACTTTAATAAATAAAGTGTTTTTAAACTCTCCAGTGTGTTAACAAAGGGGTGGAGTCTGTAGCTGCCAGTCTTGGTGTAGTAAGCCTTAGACTTGTACATAGAACTACCATAGAGAATGCTGAGTCTGAGAAATGGTTCATAAATCCTTAAGAATTCCTTCATTGGGTATAAGAAATTGAATCCTAAAGGACTAATGGGTGTGTATGAGACTACTTGTAAATTAAATGATTTCACGAATTTTGTCTTGGTAAATTGAAATTTGTAGGACAGTTAACTGGTAAAGTAGAATTCTTTTCCTCCCCAACCAAGAAGGTCAGGATTTTCTTTAGGGCCTTGCTGGGAAGAGGGTATTAAAGCCTGAGGATTCCTAAATAAAAAACTAAATTAATCTTCAATGGTGTCATAACATTTGCAAGGAAATCCCTTGAAGACACAGTAGTAAGTCACATGGTATGATTGTGTGGCCCCAAAATGGTTTGATACTGCCTTGGTATGTTAGAATAGTACTTGGTGCTTACATTGGCAGTTTTGTTGTAACGGGACCATTCTGCCTGAAACAAAAATCTGTGTATTTTTTTTCCTTAAGGGCTTTGTCTTAGAAAAGGAATAGAAGTGATTGTAGTTTGTAATAGATGTACAGTATAAAATCAACAGCGCCTGTGTCAAGAGATCAAATGTGGCCCTTTGGTATATCCTAATGTTGCATTGATGAGGACCTGACCGTTAAGTGCTAAAGTTGGAAAGATAAGACTAAGGCAATTTTCCAAATGAAAGTGGTTAAGCTCTCTATATTCTAAAATTACGTAGGAACCCTGGGTATGCCATGTTTAGTTACAAAATTTAATGTATTTAAAGCTGAAACCGACAATCTGAAATTCAATACTAATTTGTAACTCTTAAGTAGGAGAAGTATCTTCTCAAAGCTTGATTGACTTTTGAAGTTGACCTAAAAGTCCAAACATTAGTAACCAAAAATTTAACAGTGATCACAATTCACAAATGCTGTTGTAATTGACATGTAGCAAGACTGTAGAGCACACTAGTAGAGCAAAGTCTCCAGAACCAGACTGTTGTTAAAATCCCGACTCAGCACTTTAGTTGTCTGTAACTTCTCATTTTCAAGAATCAACATTACTATAACATATAAGAGGGACAGTCTCTGACATACATGTGGCAGACACTATTAGGATGTTTGCCATTTACTGTGGAATGAGAGTCTGGTTTCCTTTACTTAAGCAGTAGTGCATAATACTGCTACTGAAATATGAAGTAGATCCTGACTTATTTTCACACTAGATCATACTCAGGGGAAGGGGGTGACGTTTATAACAAAAACTGAAGAATTCCTGCCTGGGTACTATCCCAGACATACCCATGCTCAAGACTTTACAAACACTAGGTGATCCTGGTGTGCATCCTTAATATATAATAACTTTATGGCATCTTTATTAGTCTAATTATGAAGTCTAGGCACCAAACAAAAAGGCATCAAATTATTCTAACTCAAATTTTTAGGTACTTGTAGTGAAGGGTGTGTGTCCATCCAGTGTAGTATGGTGGTAATGTTGAGTGCTGGGTTTATTTCCCTTGAAAATACCAAGGGATACCTCTAAGTAACAGGACAGATGACTTTATTGTGACTTGGATTAGGATTTTATAATTTACAACCAGACCTTTCAGAGGCTAATAATATGTTGTAAATCAGCCAAAGATTTATTCAGAGTTTGATTTGGCTTTTTGCCTAGTGTGGATGATAACTGAAATATTAAAAAGATATTTAAACCAACAAGGTTTTGTATTTGTTTAAAATCCTTACAGAGGTTCAGCAAGTGTCTGCCCAATTGTATTATTTGTACTATGGAGCTGTCAGCTCCATAACAGTAAGTTTAAACATTAAAACTAGGGATTTTGGTTGGTTGGTTGGTTGGTTTTTTTCGAGACAGTGTTTCTTTGTATTGCTTTGGAGCCTGTCCTGGAACTCACAGAGATCCACCTGCCTTTACCTCCCTAGTGCTGAGATCAAAGGCTTGTGCCACCAACGCCCAGCATTATATCTAGGGTTTTTGAGTTGCAAATTTTTACTTGGGTGGAGAGGGAGAGCATAACAGACAATTTAGTAGTTTTAACAAACAAGAAACATAGTAACCTTGTTCCTTGTCAAATACACGTGTGTAGGTATAGATGAAAGTGGTTCTGAAACAAAACTGCAGATGGGACATTTTAAATACTTGTCTAGCCATAGTGTTCAATAAAGACAAGGTTTCACTTCTGTGAGGTTTTGCAGTTGCTTCTCAGCTTACCCAAAGGTTGCTCTCGTGTGGCCAAGTACAGTTGACAACTTACAATGGCTAACAAAACCAAATCTTGGACCTTAGTCATTTAAGTTTCACTTCTGTGAGGTTTTGCAGTTGCTTCTCAGCTTACCCAAAGGTGGCTCTCGTGTGGCCAAGTACAGGTGACAACTTACAATGGCTAACAAAACCAAATCTTGGACCTTAGTCATTTAGTTCCCACAGTAAACACCGGAAGCTAGCTTCTACTGTTCACTTAACAGTTCATTTGATGAACACACTGGAATGCCCAAGAACATAACTAAATGAATTGTGGTTAAACTCATTAGAAAGGTTGGCTTTTCCAGCTTGGGGCCCAAAGTCATGCCACTTTGCTGGTTGACGTCCCCTTTCTTGGTGGGACTGAGTGCTTGTCACCTCACTTTCTTCTAAACCTGTATTTACTTTAAGCAGGTTTTTGTTTTGTTTGAGACAAGGTCTCTCTGTAGTCTGTTCTCTGGTGCTCTAGGAACTCACTCTGTAGACCAGGCTAGCCTCAGGATCTGCCTGCCTCTGCCTCCCAGTGCTGGGGTTAGGGCCCTGCACCACCATGCCCAGCCTAAGACACAGTTGATTTCTGACCCAAGAACAAGGATTTGGGCGGAGAAAAGATGTGACTCACTCCTATATCCTGGAAATCAGGAGTTAAATCCTGAACTCTGTAGCTAGGCTAGTCTTTAATAGGTGGTAACTGTCCAGGTTCTCGTCAGTCACAAGTGGCAGGAGGAGCAGAGTTCCCTTTGGTTCTGCCTGTTACTTGCTCCTCCAGAAGCAGTCAGGTTTGTTTGATCCAAGTGTGAGACGCTTGTCTGTTCCTTACAAACCAGCCACTACTCAGTCATCTTTTAATCTCTTAGAAACCCCTTATGGCTTACGCAACATTTCTAAAACAATGCTGCTTTTTTGTGCCAGTTGTGAACACCAAAAGTATCCTAATTACTGCCTTAGCAGTGGGATTTCTAAGTATTTTCCATGGTAAAGAAACAGAAGAGACTCTAAAATTAAGTCTGTCTGCCAATTGCTTTATTGAGACAGTACTATGTAGCCCAGGCTGGTCTCAAATGCACTTTATCACAGAAAACGACTAAACTTGCTTATCCTGCCATCTCCTCTCATGCTGGGATTACAGGTCAGCATCCTCCACCCGGTTTATGGGAGGCTGGGGACCAAGCCCAGCAGACTGTACATACTAGGTAAGCACTTTACCAGTCCAGTTGGCAGTGTTTATAAAAGTATAGTGTTTCACTTGTGCTATTGTTTACGATAAATCTTGGGGGGGGGTTTGGGGGAATAAACAACCAGGTACAATTGTCTGGTAGTAAATATCCTTGGAACGGTGTAACTACAGTGTATTCAGTGGAAGACCATTTATGTAGTATATGTTAAAGCCCCAGGTTCAACCCCTAGCATCTTAAGACAGAAAAGCAGTTTACTGTTAGATCTCTAGTGCAAAGGCCAAGAAAACATTCAGTTATGCAGTGGTCATTATCAGTGTAAAGTAGATTCAGTCACCTTGGGTTGGGTTTTGAAAAAAAAAAATTACCACTAAAATGTGGTAATTTTATCTTACATAGCCTTTCTTAAAAAGTATTTAAGATGAAAAAATAAGTTAGGTGGGGTATAGTTTTAGTCATATATACTTGGGGAGGTTGAGGTGGATCGTTAGAACTAATACAAGTTCAAGTTTTATGTGTATGAACCCAAGAAATGGGATTTTTTTTCTAGAAAACAAGTCAAAACAACTAAAATTCGCTATTAGGAATGGAGAAAATAGAGGTTGCATTCAAGATAGCTCAGTTGGTCAACTATTTCCCTTGAAGCACCAGGACTAAAGTTCAGGCCCTAAATCCCATATATTTCAAAAAGCCAGGGAGACAGACATGGTGGCACACATCTTTAATCCCGGTACTCTGGGAAGTGGAGGCAGGCAGATCTCTGCATTCTGGACCAGCCTGGTTTACAAAGCAAGTTCCAGGACAACCAATAATGAGACCCTGTCTCAAAAACAATTTTATTAAAAATTTTAAAAAGCCAATTAGGCCGGGCAGAGGTGGTAACACACACACATTTAATCCCACCACTTGGGAGGCAGAGGCAGGTGGATCCCTGAGTTCCAGGCCAGCCTGGTCTATGAAGCGAGTTCCAGGACAGCCAGAACTGTTACACAAAGAAACCCTCTCTCGACACCCTCCTCCCCACCCCCCCAAAAAAGCCAGTAGGCTGGAGACAATGGCTCAGCTGTTAAGGGTACTTGGATGTTCTTTCAGAGGACTGGAGTTCAATTCTCAGCATCCACATAGTGGTTCCCAATCATCTGAAACTGGTTCTATGGAATCTGATGCCCTTTTCTGGCCCTTGTGGATACCAGATACACATGTACAGAAATACATGCAAGGAAACACAGATTTAAAAAAAAATGCATGCATGGGGGTGTTAGTAATCCAGGCACCACGAGTCAGAGACTAGACCCTGGGGCTTCCTACCTAGCTAGTCTTTTCTGTTAAGTTTGAAGCCAGTGACCAGCAGAGTCTCAGCAAATAAAGGTGTGTGGTGCCTAAAGAGTGATGTCCCAAGTTGTTTGCTCATGCACAAGCTACACATACTCACACACATATGTACATGATCATCTCGGTTCCCTTTCAGCACTACAGCTTCTAAAGGGGATGGAAGTAACTTACATGTATTGGTTTAAATGCCGGCATTTCAAGACCAAAACAGTAAATTACTATGTAGCAGGAAATGGGCTCCATGGAGAAATAAGTCATCACATGTTGGAACTGAGAGTAAAATGTAAAACACTTTTCATGTTAGGCTGGTTTTTGGTAGGTATGTAGGAGTATTTCTTTGGTTTTGTCCTGGGATTTTTTAGGTGGTACTGTAAAGGGAAAGCAGTGGCTTTAAGTGAGAGAAACAAAACTATTGGAGTATTTTAGGCTAAACCATTCTTCAGGATATTTAAACCAGGAAACATGGATCTGCCTCGATTCTTAGCTTTTAAAAATCCTTGTAATTCTAGCTGGGTGGTGATGGCACAATTGTCATGAAGACCTTGAGAAAAGACGATCTTTTCCCCCGTGGAGTTCCTTTATCTCTGCTAACCAGAAAATGAGTCAAAAGTATTTTGTCAGGCTCTTTTGGTATAGTAACATGTATGGGAATTACCTGCACCTCTTCATATAAGAACACAGGCAGAGGCAGACATTTCTCTGATGCCAGCCAGTCTCAAAAAAATAAAAATTTACAGGCATTAGAATACCCTGAATAAGGTTGCTGAGGCAGGGAGATCTGGTAGGCTTCAGTTAAATATGGCAGCCAAAGAGATTCTTTCTCCAGAGGACATCTTTGTGATGCTTGGAAGCTCTTACCACACCAGGGAAGTACTGCAGCCAGCCAGGGAGAGACGCTTGTTAAACCACAACAGGAACAGGAGTTGTAATACATACTGCTATTGCCTCTCAATTCCCGATATAAAACCAAAATGCATCACCTAAAGATGTGAGCACTCCAGTCATTTTGCCTTCACAGAGAAGGGCATTAACAAAACTAATTCCTGTACTCATTATTTATTTCTTGCATAACTTTGTCTTTTAAAAAATTATTATTTAACCACACAATCTGGCTGCACCCTCCCTCCCCAACAAGAGCAACCCTGGGGAAGGAGCAGTGCTGGACATCCAGTTGATGTGCGTGTACCAGGTTGGTAACAAAGGCTACACAGCCCACTGTCCTCTATAGACACAAAATGGCAGCCCATAAAGTTTGCCTGAGGGATGTTCCAAATTCTAGTCCTGGGCCAAGATGATGTCAGTCATCACCATGGGAACAGAAGGATGAAGCTATAGCTGGGTGTGAGGGTGCACACCTTTAATCCCAGCACTTGTGCCTCTCTGCCAGTTCAAGGCCAGCCTGGTCTACACAGCAAGTTCCAAGACAGACAGAGCTACACAGAGAAATCCTGTCTCAAAAACCAAAATAAAATTAAAATGAAGCTACTCAATGGCTTCCACTTACTTTCCATGGTAAGGACAAACTTCAACTACGAGAAAATCCAAAGGTGGCAAATCCACAGGCTGGGATTGCCTGTAAGGGAACCTTCGCACCGAAATGCAGCAAGTTTCATGCAGAGTATCTAGGGGCGTGCGGCATTTCACCCGACAGCACAACCCAGGAGAAGTACTTTTGGAGGCACAGAAAGTACAAGTACTGTGGATGCTGAGGCCTTAAGAGACCAAGATGGTGCACTTCGTGTATGGAAACATGCTATTCATGAGAGGGTAGCCCTGACATTAACACACAACTCCACTGCGCTGCTAAATATGGTTGTTTTTATTTTCTTTTTCCTTGCCCAGCCCTATCTAAACATAAAATAAAACTACAGGACTGAAATTAACAACCCATTAAAATCAGCAATAAGTTATGAAAATCATAAAGCTTTTTTTTTTAAAAGTAATTAAGGGTAGTTAAATTATTTAAAGAATACAAAGTCCAAACAGCTGGGGGCATTGGGAGGGGGAGGTCTCCAGAAAGGCTTCCCAGGGCAAAGCAGAGGCCCAGAGGGAAACCTCAGAGTTTGAAAGACAAGGGGAACACATGACATCAAAGTGCAGGCTAGAAATTTCACTTAGAAGATAACATTTCTGAAAATATTTCTAAGAGCAACAATAGCACCTGCACAGTGGGTTTGTGAGGAAGGAGACTGCCCGTAGAAAATGCAAACCTTGACATTAAACGAGACAAGTGCTGAACTTAACTATGTTAACTAGGAGAGTTTGCCTGCTATGGGTATCAGACGGTTAAAAGCTGGTAAAAGGGAATGATCCTAAAAGAAAACAAAAACAGCATTGACCTTCGTCTCCCCAGCCCAGACCTCCTCATTCATTCTGTGCAGTATAAAGAGTGAGGTGTCGGGTGTTTTATCATTTATCAAACGCTGCATCAAAATAGATGATTTTTTTCCCCACGTGTTTTTTCCACTATAAAAGACATCTATGTTTACTTATGGACAAGCTTTAAAAAGATGTCATTTTGGTTTTCAACACATATAAACAGTTATCAAAATCTCAAATAAAAATGCTGCTGTGGCTCAGACCTTGGCCTGCTATACTGCATGCACAGCTCTTCAGATCGGCGCAGACACAGGCACCTGGCGCTTTTCCTTCTGTGATACAGGCTGACATGCATGGGCTGCCCCTATGTTGCCGAAGGGCTGCAAGTGAGCGGGCGGTCAGGTGCCCTGGTGCTAACAATGCAGGTAAGGTTAGCTGGCTTAGCATGGAATCCAACAGAAAGCTGAGCTGCGTGATGACCTCTTTCGAAAGGCTTCATGGGAATCTCTCCTTCTGTAGAGCACGAAATGAGCTTTTTAAAAATTCATTTTTTAAAAGAATTGATCATCCACAGGCTTCATGATAAACTGAGGCTGAGTTTTAATAGCTCTTTAGCTATCCAAGATTAATGCCTGATTATCCTGTCTTTTCCTTACTCTAAGTCTGATTTTGTTTCTACGGCCAAGAAGCTCAGGAAGGGTTTATAACCCCACCCTTAAAATGTCTACTCAACATAGCATGAGCAAACTAGAAAAGGAGAAAGGAATCTCCATTGTCCTCTTTAAGTCAACTAAGTCAACTCAAGATTAATTCCCACAAGTTTTCAGCTGCTGCGAGAAACTGTACTCTTGCCACTGTATGAGTATTTGTTCTACTGGGGAGGCTCTACCCCACTTTTTGTTAAGTATTTGCTTAAATACAGGTCTTCTGACCCTTTTGTTCAAGTATAGTTTTGTTTAGTTTTGAAGGAGACTGCATCATGAACCCCATTGAAGAGACGGTACTGAATTGGCCCAGTGGGTGTTTCGCCCTGCACTGTGGTCATGCTGGGCTCTAGGAAGTGAAGGGAAGTTTGACACTGGCACTGGAGTAACCTTCGTCACTCCCAATACTCTGCAGGCTGCTGTGGTCATCGATGTCACTGATGCTGGTGGTGCTGATAGTGTCCACTTCTCCAGGGGAGAACTCTGTGCTTTCCACATCCACTTCAATCTCCTCTGTAGAGAGAGAGAGGAGGGAGGGGGGAGGGAAAGAGGGAGGGGGAACGGGGGCAGAGCTCTCTGGCAATTGGCTCCTCTGCAATGGGAAGTTAGTATACAGAGGTGGTCCTAATTTAGGCAGCAAGTTTACTAAAACCCTTTGACGCCAGTCCGTCTGGACCTCCCACTGAAAGCACTTGGCCTATTTGAGAATTAGTACTTAATATTAAAAGATCCCAACCCAAGTGGTTTAACAACATCTGTTTTGCATTAAACCAAGAACTAATTCACAGTGTTGTTTATTAATCAGGGTTGCCTTAAAGAGGGAGCTGGGGTGGGGAGAAATAAAATTAAAGATGGAAAATTTATGCTTATGCATCCAAAGTTTTGGTGGTATCTACAGATGATCTGTAGATTTCCACAATCCATCATGAGGAATTCTATATATTTGGTAACTAAAATAAGCCAACCATTAAGTTTGAGAGATTTGCTACTGATTTTCTTGCATCAAATATAGCTTCAAGCATTTCCTTCTGTATGTGTGTGTGTGTGTGTGTGTGTGTGTGTCTGTCTGTCTCTCTGTGTCTTTGTGTGATGTGTGTGTTTATGTGGTGTGTATATGTATGGCTCTGTGTGTGTCTGTCTGTCTGTCTTTGTGTGGTATGTATATGTCTGTGTGTCTCTGTGTCTGTCTGTCTGTCTTTGTGTGGTATGTATATGTCTTGTGTCTCTGTGTGTGTATCTGTCTGTCTGTCTTTGTGTGGTATGTATGTCTGTGTGTCTGTGTGTGTGTATGTCTGTCTGTCTGTCTGTCTTTGTGTGGCATGTATATGTCTGTGTGTCTCTCTGTGTGTGTGTGTGTGTCTGTCTGTCTGTCTTTGTGTGGTATGTATATGTCTGTGTGTGTGTGTGTGTATGTCTGTCTGTCTGTCTGTCTTTGTGTGGTATGTATATGTCTGTG